ATCCACCCAAACATACATTAACACTTATTGTTGGAGAATAAATATAAATAATTTATTCATAGATAAGAGCTCTACTGACGATAAAAAAAATAAAACAATCCCCTCTGAACAACAACAACAAAAAATAATAAAACAATCCCCCTCTAAAAAGAACTCATCACATGACAAAGTAAGACCTGTGGAAAACAAACGTAATGCTTTACATTCACTACCCTGTGGAACTCTGGTTGTTTATCAGACTACTTTCCAGTGTCTTACTATCCTACCATAATTTTGTTTCCTGACACAAAATTTACCATTTCTCTAGTTTATCTGCACTGGAAATCTACAAAAATTTTACAGTGATCACAACTATGTATCTGAGAATTTTTCATAGAAAAAGCACTGCAAAATATTAAACCAACTGTATTTCCCCCTAATACAAAAGCTGCGAGAATGAAATATTTTTTCATGTATCTTGATAAAATAAGCATTTTTCTCTATACAGAACAGTACTTTGATGGACATGAGAGTGTTAGAAAATTAGTGTTTATTGGCTCACTTGAACATTGTAGTGATTTCACTACCTTGGAATTTAAAACCATTTAAGATGCCTACTGTTTTTACTACCTGAAATTAAAGATAACGTTCCTAAGCACACTTTTCAAGATGACTACCCCGTTTTAAATGTAGCCACTTCAAAAAAGAAAACAAAAGGGAATGAACACAGTAGGTGTAAATATATTTTGTTTTGTAAAACAAGTTCTGGTACCTTGTATCATTTATGTAATTTTTTCAATTACAGGTAGTATTCTCTTAAAAACACCCAAACATTTATCTACCCATTCTACACAGGCATTCAGTAAATCTTACTGTATTAATGATGTACCAATTTCATATCCTTATTCACAATGAATGTACAAGTGTACCTTACCCAAAAAATGCTCTTTGTTACACCATAAATATATTCTGTTAAGAAAGTGTACCGTGAAGAGAATATACACCTCACTGTGGGCTCTCCCTACCTACATCTATATACAGTAGGATTAACAAATGGTGCAGATAAAGATGGTTAATAAACTAGACTTCAGTTGCGTCCTACTCTTCAGAATAGCTGTATTGTACATAAGCATCTGCCAGCTAGCAACAACTAAAAGCTTTTGCAATTTTTGTATTCACACTCCTAGCAAAAGTTCTTTAAAAAAATAAATTAAGATACATAGTGCATCAGAGATACTATAAAAAGCTTCCCCATCATTACAACTTATGTCTTTGTGAGATAGTGACTACCTTACTGAATAGTACTAGTGAACTCAGAGAAGAGACTCAGCCACTATCAGGAGCTTCCCATAAGACTGCAACAGCAATTTAATATACAGAGTAACAATACGATGCAGATGAGATAGATGAATGAAAGGTGTAGTGTGAATCGTTAGGTACAGTATTAGCATATTCCTAGACCAAAAAAAACAAATAACCATAAACCTTAAAAGCTGGTTATTATATGTTTAGCTTTTTTTTTCTTTTTTTTTTGTGTTTAAATCGGTAAACTGTAAAAATGTACCCTAATTCACTACAATACACTATGCCCTGAGAAGTAGCATTACACACTAGTAAAAGCCACTATAAAGTGTCTGGTCTATAATTCAAAAGCATAAACTGTCTACAAGGAATTTCTTGGAAGCACATACTTCCTCCATTTTTCAGCAATGCATGGCTTTCTCAGAGGAATATACTAATGAAGGTTTATGCTAATTCTAGTTTACCCAACCTTAACTACAAGAGTTTATTTTTTATTTTTTCCTCTCCTTTAAGCTCTCCTGGGGACACCTGGGGACACTAGATGGCTTCATAGGTAAAGGTCTTACTTTTCACCCCATAAAGAGGATGTAGGCCTAGTATGAGGCTCTGAAAAAACTAAGCCTGATGAACTCCACTTAAGGACATCAATGAGAGCTACTTTTTGGGAGGCAGTCAGCTAGCTAAACACAAAATGAAGCCACCTCACCAGTGCTTTGCTACATTCTTCTTTGCTGGTTAGAAGAACAGAGAGGAGGCTGAGATGTAAACACACCCCTGATCACACAAGGGAAAAAAGGGCAAATTACGTTAGACAGGGACAATGAACTTCCTTTGAAACCAATTTAAAGTTAAGTGCGTTTGAGAATAGGTGAGTTACCCTCCTTCCTTTGTATCTGACATTAATAAAACAGTAAGACCTAATTGTAAAGACCTCTCATCACCAGATGAGAACAGGACAAAAGTCACATCTGCATTTCACTTCACTGCTTCTTTTTCCAAAATTGCTCTAAAAGATACAACTCAGGAACTGTGGGGTTTCTCTCTCCTTCCCCCCCAGTTAAGTGCAATGGTTGACTTCTTACTAAATTAAAAAAAAATAAGGAACATTCTTCCCTCACAGAAGACAAAACAAAACTAAACAAATAACCTTGTCTGTCCAAAAATTCATCAAGTCTCTGAAGACTCATCATTTAAGTAGTCTGGTAGTCACATCTTGATCATTGTTGATATTATGTTATTCTGAAGAAGTATGCTTGTTGAGTCTGGCTATGCAGATAAGCCTTTCTAAAACCCTTTGTTTCTACTCATCAACACCATACTGTACTGTTTTAAAAATTCTTTAATACTCTACCTAGGAAAAACAAACAAACAAACAAACAACTTACTCCTGTCCATACAGGCTACCTACACATTTTAATTAAGCAGCACTAAGATAAAACTGGAAATGCCAGAAATTTTGCTTGTAAGACAGAATCTAAGCTTTCTCACTATAGTATGAATTTGCTTATTTGTTTTAAGTAAGTTCCACATAAGGTAATTAATCAAACCTAATAAACCAACAATTTACTTTTCTGACTCTTTAAATGACACAAGGGTTTAGTGTATAAAGGACATGTAAGAAGTCAACAGAACACTAATATGCAGGCATGAATAGATTAACAAATATTAATCAGAGCAGCTATAGTAAAGCATTCCAATAACAACTTTAAACAAGTGTTGCTATTGTAGCTATCTTTAATGCTGCATGTGTTGCTCCAGTGACTGTAAGACACAAGATAATCCAAATGCCAAGGAAATAACAGTGAAGGTATTTAGCAGCAAAGAATTCAACTTCTTAGAAACGTGATTCCTTCTATTCTAATATTTGTAGTTTCAGATTACATTTTTTTCTCAAACCCCTTTGTTTCTAGCACAAAGAAATACCTACAAAGACTAATCCAGTGAACAAAACCAATTTGCATCAATTCAAATGACACTACAGCAGAAGACAAAGTCAGTAAAGATGCTGAGCTTCATATAAAGCCTTTTACAGGTGTAAAAGTTTGATTTTATATCTGAAAGAACTTCATAAAGTAAGAAACTTGTATTCTACAGCTTCTCTTGGACACTTTCTCTGCAAGAATGTTCATCGAGTACATTATGATTCTCTGACCTCTGAAACACAAAACAACTGCAATTCTGTTAAGATACCTGTACTCGATCACCTTTATGTGTAATATGTGTAACTACCAATGGCCTGAAACCATTTTTCTTTTCTCCCAGCAGTGGCCAAGCGGGACTCTGTAGTAATACTGAATGGTTAGACAGGTACGCTCCAAAGACCATAGTTCCAGAATATCCCACAGTTGTGAGCTTAATGTAATTTGTGGGAAGTATCTCTTCAATCATTTCGTGTAAGTGGCTTCAGGACATTGACAGCTTGAAGTAATTTAGTTACATATTTTCTTCTTTCATATAATCTATACTTATAATGAAAAAATTAAAGTGTGATTTTGACAGCTTATTGTTTGTATTTCTTTCAAAGCGAAAGCTAAGACTTGTTTTGATTTTTTATTTTTCACTTTCCTGTGTTGCAGAGTCCAGTCTGCAAACACTTCTAAATGTAGCTATTCTCACTGGATTTAAAAAAAATAAATAGTACTTCCACTAGGTGTAGGCTTTAAAAACCCATAGTTAAGAGTCATACTGCAGCCACCCATGTTTTGTAAAAGTAAGTAACATCGACCAACTCTAATCAGAGCTCTCAGAACATTTTCCAAGTATGAAAATAGAACGCAGCTCTGTTCAGTTACACAGGACCAAATCTTGTCTTTATACAAGCATGCGTAACTTGTGCTGACACGAATCAAATGTTTATGAGGGCAGCTGCTGGATTTGTTTATGATGGCAAGATTGTAAAATTCAACAGCACAGTAATTCCATGATACAGTTCTAAGAAAGCTACCTAAGCCTCCAGGTAATATTCCAGAAGAAATATATAATGGGTTTCAAGTCAGATTCTAATACAGATCTTTTCCTCTAAACCTCTCAATCACTCTAGTGCATGAAGAGACCATCTCTTTCCTTCCACAGTTCAAGAAATATTTCTTACCTTGCTCCCAGTTCCCAGCCTGCTCCTGCTACTAATATTTTTCTCGTGAACAGATAAGTTTTGCTAAGGTAAACACAACACACAGCTGTGTTACTGTTGAAGTAATCTGGGACCAAGAGCATGATTCCTAATACACTGCCAGCTGACTTCATGCTTCCCAGGTTCATACTAGTCATTAACGGTATACTCTTAGTCAAGTTGACCCAGGCTACCATACATGCTACATGTCAAGTCCTGTGGACTGGGTAAAACTTCTTGCTCAAGTTAAGTTCTTAAGTTCAGGCTCCAGTTTGTAACTGAACCTACCCATTTGTCAGTGGTCACAGAGACAACATCTTACGATGAAATTAGCATCTGAAGCCACTACCACACCTCCTTCATGTACTGACTTAATCTTCTGCAACTAAAACCATCAACCAAGACAACACCCCAAAGCACCTCAAAACAAAATGCCATGCATAATAGGTCACTAGCTATAGAGAGGCAGGTGTGGATATCCACTAAGACAAAGCTTTGCCATGGAGATACTCAAGCCTAGGTCAGTCTTATCTAGGTACGGTAAACAGAAGACTGTACATTTAGAAATGTCTTTGTTAGCCACTCTGGTGCCTGAAATGAGTTATGTTAGCTACTCTGGTGCCTGAAATGAGTTATGAACATAATCTCCAAGACTAGAGGTGGCCTATGTTCATTCTGAAATGCAAGAGTAACCCCCATCCATCAAATTTTTTAGAACTGTTGGAACTGCACATTTCAAGTGCCTTTTTTCTTTCCAAATAATACCTTATGTTTTTTTAATCCCTCATTGTTGCTCTCTCTACCCGTCAGAAACAGCAGCTTGAAACAGCACTGTCAGGAGGCACTTTGGGCAGGAGAAATATACAGCAATTTTGGCGAAGAGTCTAGCTTGAAAATCGAATCCCCAGTGAACAGTCTGCTTGGAACACAGGTGACGTTGCCATTACACAAACTTACACAGTTGTACAAAGTTTATCCCCTGGGTCTTTGGACAAGCACAATTCATTCAGTTAGTGTAAAAAAAATCCCTTATATAGACAAGTTCCAAGAAAATGACAAAATAAACCATTCATGTTTAGTTTCACTGGACTAGAAACATGTTTCAAATTCCCTTAAAGTTTACAGTTACGTAAACAGAGATGTATGGTGGGAGAAGTGCTTTTAAGGAAGAGTAAAAAAAACAAAAACAAAAACAAAAAACCCCAAACAATCCAGAACAAAAATGCAAAAACAATCCAACAAAGACTGAAGCTCTCCAAGAGAACAAAAGTGAAGAGATAGCTCCCTCCTGGTGACTACTTTTGGGATTGTACGGTGACCAGAAGAATTACTTTTTACTCCATCACGTATTTTACTTACGTGGTCTTAGTCAAGGACAAGTTAGCAATATGTGATTTAGCAGGCTGAGAGTCTGTAGTGTACATAATAAATTCAGAAATGTGTGTTGAGTGTCATTAATTCTGGATTGTTGAGATAAAATAAATAAATAAATACCAAGTAGGTAATGAAGGTAAAGCAGTTTAAGAAAATTATTTTCAAATACAGCTCTGCATGTAAGTGTGAACATGTGTTTGAACTATTTTCTGCCACATTTTCCTGTATCTGCTTTTCATGATTTCAACTTCATAGACTTTCTTATCAAAATAATGTAAGAACTAGTAAGCAAACAAAAACCCAGTTACCATAGTAGAAGGCTCCAATACCATTACTAGAGCCTTGAGAAAGAAACACTGCAGTCTGGTGTTCTACCAAAGGTTGCTAAAACAAAAGTAATAGCACTCACCAAATACAGTTTGAATCCAATAAAGTATTAGCAAGGTGCCACTATAGCAAAGAGGATCAACCTGGAAACACGTTTAGGTGATACAGACAGATCCTCTTACCCTTTTCCCAGACACTGTTTCAAAAGCATTTCAGACTTTTTTTTCTCTCACACTTCGTTGTTATTGTTGTTGTTTTAAAGCCAACGATTCAGAGTCCACCTTAATGCAGAAGTAAGAAATAAGAATACGTTACAGTAGGAAGCTGACACAGAATGCTTTGGTGAAAAGATTAAGGAACAAACTGTACCTGCTTACTAAAAACTACACCAGTTCTTTAATTAAGTGACAGACTTCTACTCTGAATATGAACTCTAAGACTGACCATTAGAAGAGTGGAAAACACATGGTTAGCTAACACTTGCAATCAAGACATGCATTTGTGTCTGAAGAGAGAATATTGCACTAAAAGAAGAACCCTGTAGGCTTTAAACACTCTCTTTACTGACCTAAAAAAGTAACTAACCATTTCCTATAAGCAGTAGCAAACCTGGCTTGATCCACATCCCTGCAAGTAGATAATACTTCACTAATGAACCGGTATTCCATTTCTGGACCAAAAGAGTCCTGCACAGGAGCACGTTTCAGGCGTTTTGTTTCCTGGGTATAAACTTGTTTGCTGTTGGATTCATTCAAACCATCAACATCCATAGCTTGTGCCATGTGACTTATCGCAGTACTGTAGTGGGAATTATTCAATGTTTCATCATTGCTGCCCACAGATGATACCACTGCACTCAGAAGAGGAAGTCTGTTCCTTAGGTGGTGCTGAAGGTAGAACACACACCTTCTTCAGGGTAAAAGGAAGGAAGGAAAAAAAAAAAAAGGAATAAAAAGTCACATACTGAAAATAATCTGCTGTTGCTGCTGAACTGCTTCAGTTCATTTGCCACCCTTCCAGATTCCACCCCCAAGACAAAATCTGCAGTCACTGCTCACACTCTACACAAAAATGACTCGGTGTCACTCTGGCAAATCTGCTGTTACCTACTCAAGCACAAAAACTTAGCTGGCAAAGCAGCAGTTTTCTGCAGTTGATCCATCTTCTGCCTATCTTTTGCCTTTTAAACATTTTTAGGCTGATCAACAGTATCCTGTGTCTCTTGCACAAACTACAGGGTCAAGTAGAGCTTACATCAACAAGTAACTCTTTTCCTGGGTGGTACCTTTTAAAATCAGAGCAACGATTTGTCTAGAAACATCACGCAAAGCACATTCCACAACCAGAAGGACACTCTTTTGACCAAGTCCTCTTACCTATGACACCACAAGGTTTCATGCCCTGGGTAAGTATCAATCAGTTCAGTGCAGAGCTCCAACTCTTCCTCTAAACAGCGGGGGAGATCCACGCTCTGATCCTCTGCACAGGCAGCTGCTGCCCCTGCACTCTCTTCCTCCTTTAGAAGGCTAGGGTTTTGCACATTTACCATCCGATTTTGTAACAGTAAATTATTGTCAGTCACAGTTCTGCCTATCAATGAATTGAGTAAGAACTGGCGGTAATGAAATCCACTATGGTCTGAGACATGCATGGATACCCAATACTTGGTGGATGAAAGTTCATCAAGGAGAACCTGAAACAAAAAGCAGCGACAGTTACCAATCAGTATAAAGGAGAAATTTACCACCATTTCTATATTAAAGCAACTTCTTCTCTGGGGATTTCAGCCACTGTGGCAATGCTTTAAAAACACATTTAAAAAATGAAGTATCACTAAGCTTTTCCTACTGCATGCTAAAAAGTACCTTGGCATTCCTGCACAAAAGAAATTACACTTCTTCCAAACTCTGAAAAGGCAGGTGTCTCAGAAGCCTTCACACAGGATGAGGGGGAAAAAAAACAACCAAACCACTAATGATGAGAAATAAGCAGTGGTTTATGAACCTCTGAACAGTTATTTAGAGGAGGCAGAAGGTACAACACACTACATGGATATTAGTTAAAAGTATTTTTACTTTTGCCTAGTGCATTATGGGTGAGAGTGGGTGAGTTTAAAAAAAAAAAAAAAAGAAAGAAAAAAGGAAGAGGATTTAAAATAATTTACTTTCATTTTCCAGGAAACAATGTCAACCACTAACACAATGTTCCAAGTCCTCAAGTCCTAGAACCTGTGGAATACAAAACTATTTGTCCTTAACTAAGTTGCTTGACTTGGTAATTGGTGAAAAAAACAAACTCCTGGAAAAGCTCTCACAATAACTGTGTTAAACACTTACATAGGTGAGTACAGTTGTACTGCTAACACTGCTGGAACCTAGCAAGTTTCTCTTAACTCTTAATGTTTTTAAACCTTCAAAAATTATTTCTGGGAAGACACGTGAGATTGGGTACCAGGCAAAGCTTCTTTTACTTTAGTTTATTTATTAGAAGTAATGGTCATATTTATTCAAAAGCTTTAACATTTTTCCTCACATTGCTCCTCCTCTGGAGTTTATCCAGTTTGATCTCCAGATCTGGAGATCAAAACTACCTTTTTCATTTACTTCTGAAGACTTTAGATAAAAACCTTACTGGTTATAATCTTGCTTTTAATCTCCTTTCTAAGCTACATACATCATTTAACACGACTAGCTGATGATGCAAAGCAACTTCCATAGGCACAAGTATTTCTTTTTAAACCTGCTGCATCAGAGGCACAGGCTCCCACAAAGAAAACCATGGAAATATGGAAGGCTAGTTATACACCTTTTTTGTGGTGTGGCTGTTGTAAAAACTATGAGAACACAAACAGCGTAAATAGCACCTTCTACCTGAGACACTCAACATGCTTTTTTAGGTCTTGCCAAGAGATAGCAGAATCATCCTGGTTTTACAGATCAGCAAACCAAAGTGCACTATTAAATAACAGCCCACAGGGTATTCTTAAGAGCACTAAACCTCCCCATCTCGTTCGCATTTTAAACCACAAGATCAGCTTCTCTATTCTCAGTAGGACAGCGCTTACTATTTTAGATTTCTGAGCACTAAAATTTAAAAGCCTATTAAAAACAAAGTAAGGATCAACAGCAACATCAGAAAAATCAAACCAGTCTTTATTCAGCTGGATATGGCACTATGCACATTATATCCAAATTAAATCTCTGAACAATCTGGTTCACTTACCTAACACGTTTATGAATTAAAAACTTACAGGGGAATAGTGTAATTATGTATTTTAACTCCCTGCACAAAACAGAATGATTCCCTGTATTACTCTACCTGAACTAGAAAACCTCTTTTATATGAGCAAGACAGCAGATTTGCCATTACATCTTGCGAGACATACAGGAAAAAAAAAAAGGGGGGGGGGGGGAAATAGCACCTCTCTTCTAGAAACCTCAGAGTAACAGTAGAAAATACTTCAAACAACTGGAGATGAAACAAAAAAGCCAGCTAACATCTGACTTCCAGCAGCGGTTCTTTCTTACCAAGCCAGTTTTCTCCATTTTCACACCAAACAGCACAAGCCCTTTGCCATTCTTCTTTGAAGCAAAGACGAAATTATATGAAAACACCTCCCTCCCCACTCTTGACCACCTTTTACAAAGTGCTCTCTCCTACTTTCAGTGGTGGGCCAAGTACCATGGAACTGGCATCCCACTCCAGAATAGGAAACAGCCACTCACTCACTAGCCTCTGCCTCAACCTGTGGGTCTGCACATGCTCTTACACCCTCCCTCACCCTGTGCTTGCTTTTAAAAGCGTTTACCCACCATAACGTGCAGCCCAAAGCTTCCTCCTTGGACTGGAACACTGGAGAAATGAAAAGGAACTGCATATGGGGAAAAAAACTTTCAAGGATAACCAGGTAAATATGGCAATTTCCATTCATACGAAAGATGCCTTTGGAGGTCCAGTTATCTAAGAAAAAGCCACAGCCTTATTGGTGATGTCTAAAGGAAAAATTACTTTGTGTCTTAGGAACATACTTCTCTTTTCCTGGCATCACACAAGAGAAGTGATGCATTATGGCAATCACCCCACTACTTGTTTCTTTGCTTGCCTTTTTACCGCAGGGCCTGGCCAATGACCATGCTCTGAAGCCGGGTATTCCTATCTAAAGGAAACAAAAAAATTTGTCTGTCCTTGCTGAACTACATCCTATTTTTGTACCTGCATGGTTTCTCTGACGTGTCAATGTATATGACTTTTTACAGACTACACTGATATTACTGTCTTACTCTGGTTCTCTGACTCATTTCACATCTACCTACCAGTAGGTATCTTTAGCGTGTGTTCTTCCCCCATTAGCTTACTGAACTATCACATGAAAGAGCTGAAGTCTTCTTGTCTTTTATGGAGGCAACTACTCCAATATCAGAAAGATTAGATTAGATTTGGAGCAATCTACTATTGACAAATCTTCAGTTGATCTTAATGAACACTATTTGAACGCTACGTAAACTTGCTAATGTGGTTCAAATTCTGTAGGAAAAACAAATCCAAATTCCTATATTCAAATAAGAATCTTTTACTCTCTAGCGTAATAAAAACGAAATATCTGTATGCTGTGAGAAGACAACAGGGCCCAAACTTTCTCCTTCTGTACTTTCTTCGCAGAGTTTGAACTGAAATTTAGTTTGCAGAAGCACTAGGATTACCCACACCAAAGGAGAAACATCAACAAACCAAACCAACCAGACAAACGAACAAAAAACCCAAAAAACTAAACAAACCAACCAAAAAAAACAAGAAACAAACCAACCAAAACAAGCCACACAAAACAAATCTATTGAACAACCTACCCCCTGAAATCCTCCAAAGCAGGATTTCAAAATGATAAACCTGTTTTGAGAACTCTTACTTCAAAGATAATACAACATACACATTATGTTTCTGAGCCTGGTTCCTTGTACACTGTAAGAAATACTACCTCAAACAAAGTTTGTATTAAAGCAGGTATGTGGCCTTCAATAATATAGAATATCCCTAATTTAAGTTAGTCTTGTAAGAACTAAATGGTTACAGAATCATAATGACTGCTGCTTTTTCAGCACAGTCCCGGTCTTGTGTCTCAGTGAAATTTAACATGCTTTTAAAATATTCAAACACACTGGTTTTGGCTGGGATAGAGTTAATTTACTTCATAGTAGCTGGTATGGGGTTACGTTTTGGATTTGTGGTGCAAACAGTGCTTATAACTCAAGAGAAGTTTTAGTTACTGATGAGCACTGCTTACACAGCCTCAAGAGTTCTGCTCCTCACACCACAGCAAGGATCTGGGAGTGCCTAACGAGCTGGGAGGGGACACAGGGAGGACAGCTGACCCCAGCGAGACATCAGAACATATGGCATCATGCACAGCATATAAAGATGGGGGAATAAGAATGAAAGGCTGGTATTTTGAATGATGGCACTGATCTTCCCAAGTAACCATTATGCATGATGGAGCCCTGCTATCCTGGGGATGGATGAACACCTGCCTGCCCACAATGAACTAATTCCTTGTCTTACTTTGCTTGTGAGCGCAGCTTTTGCTTTCTGTTTCCCTATTAAACTGTCTTTATCTCAATCCACAAGTTTTCTCACTTTTACTCGTCTGATTCTCCCCACATCCCACTGTGAGGGAGTGAGAGAGCAAACGTGTGGTGCTTAGTTGCTGGCTGAGGTTACACCACACATGTACTTGATACAAGTATACTTGATAACTTGACACAGACTTGATAAGCAGAGAAATCCAAATTCTGGTCTGTATCCCTCATGGAGTCTGGAACATACTTGTGATTTACTACTAACCTGATACAGCTATTCCTCAAGTTTCTCAGGTGACAATTAACAAGAAACATCAGTCAAACAATATCTGTTGTTAGCAGTAGCTGGCCCATAATGCAAAAATAATGGCTATACTGACTCAACGACCTCCACTAAATTTCTTCCTCACTCTCTTATGTATTTACAGCATGGCAGAAGGCAGAGGCTTCCATTAAAAATGTGACGTCACTGTATCAGCCTAATATTCACACGGAATTCACCTAACAGATTAGAAAACACAGGATTATGAAATCACCTATATAATTTGAGACCACGTCACATTAAATATTTCGAATTGCTGCAGGTTGCCATGTTTTAGATACTACCGTGTGATCTGAAATACTTGCCACCACAAATGTTTGTCCCTGCTAGTACTGAAATAGCTTGGTCAGGCCTCAGTTTAAATGCTGCCAAAAGATACCACTGGAGTTGTAGAAACAGATTACAGGCACTACTACACTTTCTCTGAAATTCCTGCTGGCTTTATTTAATCTTCCAATATTTTGAAACCACAGAAAAGCTGAATAAGGTTATCAAAATGAGACATTGCATTATATTATCAAAATAGTATCTGTCATGTATTAATCTCTTTCTCTAATAGGAATTTATTCACTATTACACTATACCTTGACAGTCAGCTTTCCCAAATGCTGTAAAACCCAGATGCGATGGGACCAGGCATTGTAGTTGCTTGGGTATCTCCCAGCAGCTTCAGAGCAGACATTCATTTCTTCCTGCACTAGTCGGTGAATTCTCTCCACAGGTGCTGCTCCCAAGTTTCCTTTAGTCACAAGACTGGGCAAGGAGTTCTCCTGAATGAGTTGTTGCAGCACCCATCGTCTAGTTAAACGATGTATAGTGTTAATGGTGAGAGAGCAATTTTAGGAGGGGAAAAAAAAAAGTTTTTTTCATTTATATAAATCAATCAAACCTTTCTTTTAATTATCTGAACTAAACTACAACTAGATGATGAATAAGTACTAAAATCTAACTAAATGAAGTCTTCCCATACTTTATGACTTTATTATCACACTCCAAAATAATTTATCTCTAGCTGTATCTATTCACTCCCTGTAAATCATCATGGCTACTTACCGCATACTGAAAGAAAACAGAAGGAAACAGCAAATTAAAGAAAAAAAAAAAAGCAAGAACTGGCCACATGCGATTTCTAATGAGCTTCTCTTTCAGAGACTTGTATAGCACTAAAGTATTCAACATGAGACAGAAAGTGATTCAATAAGAAAAAATTAAATGTGCTTTGTATTTTTTATATTTATCAGCACTGCACATAATAAGCCAAATTAGTTTCTGTACATCACCAGATGTACAGCAGAAAGAAAGTGCAAAAGACTCACAGTCTCAAGGGCTATAGGTATAAGCAAAACAAATAGTTGTTATTGCTCAATTACGCATATTTAATTTTAAGTGACCACAATAAGCACACGGTGGGGTTCCTGTAGAACATTCTGGAAACCTGGATATCCTATCCTCTGGTGTGTGACACAGAGGTTTTTCTGGTTTGTACTGGCTCATACTGGACCAAAACCAATTAACTGCTACTTTCAGAAAGGTGTCACTCCTGCTAAAAGAAAATAATACTTAAGAATAATAATTTTCTTTAAAAAGATACCTTGGATTTGCAAATAATATGTAAAACTGCATATATATATATAAACAATTTAAAAAAAAATCAGTAAGCTAACCACTCACTTAAAAAAGTGCTGTAATTCATCTGCTTTTTCTCTCATTTGAAAACATTTATAATATTCTTGGTGACTGGTGTTTTTTATTTACACTGTGTCTTTTTCCTGGTTATTAAAGAAAAAAAAAGATTTAAACTACTGGAAGACAGTATTAATGATAATTTATAAGAATGTAATTTTTAAACACAGAAGAAGTCACTAACAGTAGACTGAAGTCTGTGTTCATATACTGGCTTCCTATGTAAGAATTGTTTTAACTAAAGATGTACAGCCAAACATAGCATAATTTTTTACTACTGTTAACTTTATGTAACGTGGTAAATTTGAAGACTTAATTTTTGCTTTTTAAAAATGTCTTTGATACAAACATCACCACCTAGTATATTTTCACTTCAATCAGCAGACTTGCAAGAAGTGGTATACCTTAAAAATGTCTAGGCAAGAAAGATAAATGAGTAAATGAGGCATTCCCTTAACAAAACATAAATGTTGCATTAACATTGACTTCCCAGTAAAACCACAGAAAGCCAAATTATTTTGAGCCCCAAAATATCTCCACTTCTTGAAATAAGGATGTTTTACAAAATACGGAATGAAGATAAATTACATATACAGGAGCATGTGGGAAAAAAATAGAGGCGTTACAGGCTCTGTCACTACAACAAAAGAAAAAAAAATATGAAATTAAATCTGAACTACTTTCTACACTTTTTGCATGGAAGGAAAAAAAGACGAGCACAACGTCATAAAATTTAAAATGTATTTTGGGTGCCTGTTCAATATCATGGTATTATTTAAGAGAAATAATGTTTTAAGAAAACATTTCCTCCAATAGAGCTGGAAAAAAAAAAATCCAATTTATTCTGTCACTGTATGTATGTTCCTATTACTACTGCAGTTCCTGGAATTACTGCAAATTAACACAGGCTTATTCAGTGACAACTGCACAATCCATAAATATACTGACTGTATATGCACAAGATCTATTTGAAACCTCCCCAGTAGTAAAAAGGCCATATAGCAAAACGTATGAAAGGTACTTTGATATGTTTAGCAAATGTATCTGCCATGTGTAAAAAGAAAAAAAAAAATTGGGTATGTTTTATCAAATTTTGTAATTCCCTCATCCTATTTTTTTGCACTTCCACCTGAAATTTGGTACAACAGGGAAAGAGAAAACATTAGATTAATTACTGTGCTGATGCAGAAAGAAAATTTTTTCTGTGTGATAGAAAATAAGATGAGCAATAATAGTCAGCACGTCAAAATCCAAGCCAAGCATTTTTACAATCGCCCTCAAATATACTCTTTTGGTTTAGGCAAATACAAGGAAGAACAAATTATAACACTAAATAAAATATTCACAATTTAAGATTGCATAGAAATTAGATTTTTTTATTATTTCTACAAGATGTAGATGAATATCAAGAAACTACCATTCTAACTTAATCAAAATAGAAATTCATCAGTGCTAACAAGAAAGAAATTAACAGAAATTCAGTAGGTGCTTATAAGTTAAAAAACACCTAAGAGTATTTCATATACTACATTCTAAGTTAAATTTGAGAATTTTAAGATCATGCGGTCACAAAGAAGAGTTTACCAACGACTCCCTCTTTCAAAAATTCCTGTTATCAGCACAACTGAAGTTTTATTTGTGGTTTTGATAAGAGTCCCTCACTGAGGCATCAGCTTTGCAGTTGTCCTAATGCTGGACATGGGAATGCAAACATTGTGAGCTGCTTTCTAAATGTGTTATACATGCAAATCTCTTTAAGGCTGTGTATAAAAGGATGAGTCATCCTGCGAAAAATATATCATGAAAAAAAAAAAATCACATATACACAAATTTTTTTTTTTTAAATACCAAACAAAGTTGAGCAACAGATCTAGCACTCAGCTGTGCTACAGCTGTTTTACGTACACTCAGTCACGACTTGAGATGGTTAGCTTTGTGCCTCCAAGTAATTCTGGAGTTATCTTTTCCAAAAATGTGCTCTGTTATTTTAATATTTACTAGTGATGACAATGACATTGCTTAAGTTAGAAATGATAAAAATAAATTCACTAAGCCAGAAAGACTTGGAATGGAGAAGAACCCAATTTTGGTTATAAAGATTAGCTTTTGCATATTCTTGTTTGAAATTTTGAGTAAACAAGCAATACAGTGATAAATTGGAACAGAGAAAGAGGGAGAAACCCACAATGCTCAAAAACATACTATCCATGGAGTCAGAATTCTCAAGGCTGAAAGTTTTAGGTGCTGAAGACATGACGGACCTTTAGGAAAATTTATCCCACTTCCAAAGTTCATTAAAATAGTAAGTAATGGAAAAGGTGCATGTGATTTTAGTTCTAAGTATAAAATCAAAAGCCAAAGAACAGTATTTTAAAACGACTGTCTCAAAGAATACGGTACATTTCTACATGTCCTCCAACTATGTCTCTCCTTAATCCAAGTACAAGGCGGAGCGTATTTAAGTTAGGGAGGCAACAGAAGGCAAGGTAAACAAACCTATGAATCCATGTTTCTGGACTCTTTGGAAACTTGGTTAACGCCAGTTTTCCAAGATGCAAATCTTTAAGTGGATTCAAAGTGCCAGACAGTATTAATTCTTTCCTACAAAAAATAAAATTAATTTGTATGAATAGGAGTAACCTGAAAATGGAACACACATCCCAATAGCAAACAGCATGGCATTTCCTTTGTATTGCAATAGAACTTCACTGTCAAACTACAGGAGTTTATTAAAAAGCCTTTGGTGCATTAACCTATTCCATTTTGATTGAGATATATATACACACACACACCCCCCCATTCAACCATGACCAATATAATAAATTCCGACCAAAGAACTTTAACTCAATCTGAACACCTACAACACATACATTGGTTCCCAAACCTACCCAAAAATCATTGTCAACTGTATTTGAGTATGACTCTCAATCACAACTTCTGTTGCTAATCTGAAAGTCAAGGAACTATATGTAATGCCTGTTTGCCGATGACACCAAGCTGTGTGGTTCAGTTGATACCCTGGAGGGAAGGAATGCCATCCAGAGGGACCTTGACACACTTGTGAGGTGGGTTGATGCCAACCTCATGAAGTTTAACCATGCCAAGTGCAAGGTCCTACACCTGGGTCAAAGCAATCCCAGGCACAGCTACAGGTTGGGCAGAGAAGAGATTCAGAGCTGATCTGCGGAGAAGGACTTGGGGGTGTTGGTTGATGAGAAAATGAACATGGGCCGGCAGTGTGTGCTTGCAGCCCAGAAAGCCAACCGTATCCTGGGCTGCATCAAAAGGAGCGTGACCAGCAGGTCGAAAGAGGTGATTCTGCCCCTCTACTCTGCTCTCGTGAGACTTCACTTGCAGTATTGTGTGCAGTTCTGGTGTCCTCAACATAAAAAGGACATGGAACTGTTGGAACAAGTCCAGAGGAGGGCCACGAGGATGATCAGGGGACTGGAGCACCTCCCGTATGAAGACAGGCTGAGGAAGTTGGGGCTGTTCAGTGTGGAGAAGAGAAGGCTGCATGGAGACCTCATAGCAGCCTTCCAGTATCTGAAGGGGGCCTGTAAGGATGCTGGGGAAGGACTCTTCATTAGGGACTGTAGTGACAGGACAAGGGGTAATGGGTTAAAACTTAAACAGGGGAAGTTTAGGTTGGATATAAGGAGGAAATTCTTTCCTGTTAGGGTGGTGAGGCACTGGAATAGGTTGCCCAAGGAGGTTGTGAATGCCCCATCCCTGGCAGTGCTCAAGACCAGGTTGGATGAGGCCTTGTGTGATATGATTTAGCGTAAGGTGTCCCTGCCCATGGCAGGGGGGTTGGTACTAGATGATCTTAAGGTCCTTTCCAACCCTAATTATTCTATGATTCTATGATTTGAACATTCTAAAAGCACTTTCATAAAACAAGCAGTGCTTTTTCAGTTTGCTTTCTTTTTCTGTTGCTGTTGGGGTTGTTTGGGATTTTTTTGGTCCTTTCATACAAGGGCTGCCAATAAGGTTACACATATGACTAAACATTCCTTATTGAAATTATGCTCTTAGATCATGCTGTACATCTGAAAATAGTTCCTTAAGGAAGTTTTGCTCCTGGTATTTAGTGACGTTAGTAAAGAACTGTCTACCGAGATCAGAAACATGCCTACAGGGACATTTGTTTTTATCTGAATAAAGTTGCACCATGCTTCAGATTGGATGCTTTTAGCAGGACTCAACAGGAAATTCAGGCATACTAGCCAGGAGCTGCAGAATCACTAGACTGTTCAGTGCCAGTGCACTGACTTTTGTAAAGAAGACAAGAGAAATATTTAGGGAATGTCAACACTGGAGCAGGTGGAATAACAGCTCCATTATTGCAGTGCACAAGGTGACATCTTGGTAAAAATTAATTACTACATGGGCAATGAAAAAGCAGCCTCGATCAGTGTAGTACTCAAAATAAATACATGTACATATTTAATAAGGATTTAGATTACCAGACCACCTATGTCCCAAAACTTAAACTCTTCATGAAGAAATTGTTCTTTATATATTAAACCATTAACTGCAAATAAGTAGGCTCACACATATTTAAAGTAAATTTACTCTTCAAAAGAGCAAACTCCCAGCTGCAGCCTAAACTAATGTAGGGTCAGATTCAGCAAAGCAGCCCCTTGGCTAGAGCAGGCCCAGTGGTAAACTCTAGTGGCTGGTGTAACAGCCATTTCTCTATGAATGCTAAACAGAGCTTCAATGACAAACACTTAGCCAGGACACTGACTGAGAATTTGGGGAGCAAGGCCACCTTCTGTAGTAATTTGTATACTTGTGTAAACTATAAACACCATAAAAGGGAAAATAATCCTCATCCATATTCCTGAACTTTTTTAATTCTACTTAGAACTTTGAACTATTCTTCTCAGGTACATAAACGCAAACTCTTTCCACTGTCAGACAGGAAAAAAAAAAACAGACTGGTAAGCATGGATGCATCTGCATTAAAAAAAAAAAAAATTCAAAACCTAAACCAAAAACCTGCATTCAGCTTTAAGTACCACAAGACTACATTACTGTAGTAGCTCTAGTACTTGTACATGTTCACAATTCCACTTTAGCACTTGAAAACTACTCAAGCTATATACATTGTCATGACAGTAAGCTCTTTGTTATCAATTTCATTCCCCTTCCTTACACCTGAGATGCTACAGAGTTACAGATCACAGCAGAATCTTTCAGAACTACACCAGCAGCGAAAAAAGGGAAAAAAGAAAAAAAGCTGAATTTGTCCTTTCTAGGGCTGATAGCTACATGCAGCAACCATCTTTCTAGGTTATTTTGTTGATTTTTCATACTACAATCAATTTTTCTAATGCATCTTAACAAGGAAAGTACTATTTTAATGACAGCCCTCCTACATACTAACATATAATTTTCTGCAAGCCCTTCAGCCCTTCTAAAACTATTCTTTTAAGCCTGTCTCCAGTCTTACCTAGGCAGCAGGAAGAGAACTTCTCCCTACCTCTGAGATTTACACACAAATTATCAGACTTGCAAAGAACTGTTGCTTCTGGGCTCCATTAAGAGCAAGGAGGTAAATTCCTGTTTCTCCTCCATGATGACTCCTGGACAAATGATGCAGCATGACCAATGGTGATGCTAGACTAATCAAAACAGATACAAAAAAGGAGCAGGGTGAGGGAAAATCTATCTGCAATAAAGGATAGCTGCAGTGTACCTACTGAGGGCTGCTCAGCTTTGATAAGCTGCAGTGGTAATGACATCAAATTGAACCATTATCACAAAAGGACTCAAGTATGAATATTCAAACAGAGGTAAAATTACTACAGTGAAGAAAGCAGACATCAATTGAGCTCTACATGATTCAGTGAAAAGCATACGCCCATCTAAAGGCTACACATGGACTTCCTTAACTCACAGAATGAAACAGGAGTGGCAGTTCAATAGGACTTAGAGCCCCCAGAAATGTGGGCCAAACATGTGCCTTCACATACAGTGGTGTAATCTTTCACCTGCAGTGCCAACCAAACCAAAACCAACCAAACCAAACAAAAAAAAAAAACCTAGAGAAAGAAAAAAAGGCAGTCTGAAACCATCTGTAAGACATGCAGGACAGAAGACATTTCTAACATTCCTTCAGCACTCCTTAGCTGAAGAGCTCTTAGTGTGTCACTAATTATCACTGAAAACACAGCTTACAGCTGACAGATGGCCCAGTAATTTCTATGTCCTTCACTGAGTATGACATACCTCACATTCCAAGCAGTGGTGAAGTCAGGGTTCAACAGCAGCAGGGTACACGTGACATCTATCAGCTCTAGAGTGATTGAACAAGAGGCACAAGGATTAGTAACGATGTACACACAACAGAATTCCTTTATTATTTAAAATAATGGAATTCTGTCTTGCTAGCAACTCACATCTAAGAAGTCTCTGACCTTTACCTGTAGTGCTATAACCGAACATATGGTATGCCCTCAAAAAGGGAGAGCCGCTGCATAGAATCCTTGAGTATTTAGTGATTTAAATTGCAGACACACTGTGTATGTCATAGAGAATTCTTCAAACAAAATCCAAAAATTTTTAAGAAAGTACCATTAAAAATATAGCCTACTATTTCAGTCCAACTCTGAGCTGCAGACAGCCACCATATACTAGACTGTTAGAAAAAAAAACACATACTAGCAAAATAAAAAAAAAATTAGGAAAATAAAACACCACAACCATGAATTGAGGTCACAAAATAACTCAGCTAGCTGCACAGAAAATACTTTAAATACATTCTGAAGTGACAGCCTTGCTTCAGACTGACATTTCAAGATTAATTCACTAAAAGAACAAACAGAACATCTGCTTGCATCCATGCATTTAAGTACTGGAGACTACAGAGATAAGTATTACACTTACTTCTTAACAACGTTATAAAACCAGGACTGAGGTATATGGTTGCTGAGAATGGAAGAGTAATTTCACTGTAGCCTAGTCTTTCCTTTTCTCTTTACACCCCACTGCACCATTCAAGCATTTTTGAGTCCCATCAGGGTGACACTGGGGATTCATGAGGCATCTCAAATTAAACTTGAGATACTAAGGACTGTCACTGCATTGGCTCCCTTAATCTCTTAGGAGACACAACGTATTAGTTAATCTGTCCTGCAACCACAATCCTTAAAATTTACCTGATAGTTTTGCAACTGAGCAAGAAGAAACTTGCTTCAAAACTGAATGGGACTATCCAGGCTTTTACTGCCAAGAAATTTGGGCTACATCTCTCCTAATCACACTGCATTTAACATACTAGATTGCACACCAGGTGGTTTCCAGCAGATAAGCAGTACTTTATAAACTAAAGTTAAAAAAAAAGGAAAAAAGGTATCTCATGGAACTAGACCTCTGGTTACTGCAGTTAATACGCCTATAAAATTAAAATTTAAGTTACTGATGAAATGCCACAACAATAGAGCATACTAATTTGAAATGCGGAACATGGCTTCATGTATCTTGTAACCAAGAGGTACAGAAGTTAGTATTTAAATGGGTCAAAAAGCATAATACCCTTGTATATTACTGCAATAACTGCTTGTTCATTTATGTTCAACAAAGGAATTTTGTGTTTCTCATGATATTCCTGTTGAAGAGGAACATGTTATGACATTATATAACACAGTGGGGGAAGAAAAAAATTCTTTAGTGTACTCTGGCAATTTTGCACTAAGCTGTTACGTTGATGTTTTAGAAATTACCTCAAGGAGCTAACTTTTCTGTCTAATTTCATGAGTTCTAGTCAAGATTTTTTTTTTTTTTTTTACCTTTAATAAAATATTTCCTTTTAAACCCCTCTTTGTTGCTAGGGCATGAATATGCCTCATATCTGCAAAGCTGCTTCCTAATTTGCTGCCTGCATGTACAAAGTTTTTTTCTTTGACTTAATCACTGAATAAACAAAGTAGTTCAACACATCTTTTAATTTTAGAGAGGTGAATTGCCCAATTGAAATATCCAGCATCACTCACATAAGTAAAATTAAACACTTAGTAAGTGCTTTGCTAGCTACTGTTTCAATTTTACATTAAAAAACTTCATTGGCAGCATTTAATAAGAGTTTTATAAAGATCAAAATTTAAAATTGTGAGCTGTCACGGTTTCATCTTGATTTCCATTTTGCCTTCTCAAAATACTAGCAGTTATTCTGCATTTTTAGAATATCTCAAATTTTACCTATTATGAATATACATAATTAAATGAGCCAATTAATCCACTGTAATTAGCTTCTGTCATAACCAACACACACAAATTGTCTTACAAAACGTAGTAGGCTAAGATCTAACAGTAACTCTTCTAATATAAATCTTCTGTACATCAAACTCACAGTAGCCACCACTTGGCAACTCAGAGTTTCTTCAAGGGGGAAAAAAAAAGAAGTCAGGAATTATGAGCTTTGCTGATAACGTAAAGCAAGTCTACACACCTTCATTCAGTTAACTGCATTTTTATCCCATTCAGCCAACCCGCTCTCCAACTGGCAATTATCTACAAAAGCAATCAACAACAAAAACCCACCACACGACAAAAAAAAAATCCCTTCCCCCCCAAAAAAGAGTTGAATACTAGCTTCTCCCCTAGTCAAAAGAGTCATATATCTTTTAAGCTCATTTTAAGTTAATCAAGACTGCCAGAAAATTGATGGCTTAATATAATTTTTAAAACATATTATGAAGAGTTCAGCACACCAAATGTAGGTGTACTGACACTTCCTATGGTAAACTTTATTTTCAGATGCTTATCACTTTGTCAAGAGGTCAGTGGGCTGCATCTAAAGGCTCCAATGCTCAACCATGGTTAAGTATCGATGTAGCAGAACTATGCAATGGAGATATCTGCAAGACTTTGTTACAGGAGGAAAAGTTTTTTACTACAAGAGGGAAAGGTAAATGAAACTTTGGAGTGCAGGATAAGAAGAAAATGAGACACAGCAAAACGCTGCAACAAACACAATTAGAGGAGGTTCTGAATTAAGTAATAAGAAATTCTGAACTTTTGAGTGCTGGATTTTCTAAATACAATGGTTTTAGTAATTGCTAGGTACTGCCCTCTGTATATGCTATGGTTGACAAGACAGTTAAGAAAAAGCTTATTACAGCCTAGTTCAGTCTTTTGAATACTTTTTAGACAGTTTTCATAGTCTACATGACTCTTAATAACAACATAGCTTGTTTATCCTACTAAATCATGATTTGCACTTAACATGACTACTCTGGTATGTCAAAGGTCTGGAATAGCACCAAATCGAGCCCAATTTAAACAGAAGCTTGTCAACCATTATTGTGTTTTCCTGTTACAGAGGTTCACTGTATCCTGAACATTACCAAAGGAAGGCAGCAGACAATATGAAAATCTCAAAGCAATACCCAGTTCTTTCATGTTGATGCTCTTTGATGCTTTGTGTAACAAGTAACAGATGAAGATCTCATGAAGCGCGGATTCTGAACCAGAGATGTCAAATAACACAACTTTAGTAAACTTTCAGCCAATTTTCAATAGAAAGTCTTATGACAGATCTGGCACACAGCGATAGTAGCTGCAGCTAGCTCCCTCAGTGTTAGTAACAAAAAAATGACATCTTTTATTTACAATTTAAAAGCACTTTCTGCTGGATACATTTTAAACAAACTGTAGCATTACAGGTGCTCACAATGTATATGTCCTCTTAGACATGAAATTCCCCCCGGCTGCAAAAGGGCAAACATGACAATATGTTTTCAGGTTTTTTTATATGGGAGTTTCTTTTTTCTTTTCTTTTTTTTTTCTTTAAATATGGCTGTATCCAGATTTCAAGATGTGCTTTTCAGAAGACTTGTAAAAGTGGAAACATACAGACTTATGGGAAGTAAGAATATTCTGGGAGTATTCACAACAATACTTTGTTTAAAAGGAGAAATTTGTGGCAATTTCAGAAAACCATCTTGTGATAATACAAGTAATATGTATGCATAAATTAAAATATTGGAGAAAGAATAAAAGCATTTTGCAAAATTAGGATTTCTAAAGCAGAACAATAATAAGTAGTCATGACTCTAGATTCCAAGGATCCAAAAGAAACCATAACTAAATTAAACATCTGTCACAGTAAGCTATTAATGACTGACTACAAAGCACTTCCTTCTTGCAGGATCTTGCCAGAAAATACCAGACACAGCATCTGAAAACTGGCACTTGAATCAGCACCATTTTTTCTCTCCGTTCCATTTAAAATGGTTTACAATAATTCAAGCAACACAAAGGAGGTAACGAAAGACTACATTTGCAATCACAGTTTATTACAAGTATCAACTGAATATGTAATTGAGTTTTGCAGCAGTAACACACAAATCTATTCCTTCACTACATTCAGAAGAAAGCTATTGCCTTGCCAAATTCTAAGCATGCGCTTTTGTCTACAAAAAGGAATTTGGAGGAAAATCCTTGAGGTTATGTCTAATGTATAGAAACTGTAACATCTCTTGATAGTACATGCCTACTTGAGCCTCATTAGAGACAATTCTGTAAGTCTACCTGGGAAAGACTTCCATCTTCATTCCCTCCATCACTGCAGTTCAGTTTCTGCTAAGATTTCCTATCAATTGTGAAACTCAATTACAATAAAACATACTGAATTCTGTAAGCTGTACCTTGCTTTACAAACATGTTATTAATATGGAGGCGCTGTAGATCACCCCTTCACATTTTAAACTGACTTTATAACCCTAGAAGCAAAGGAAAATGCAGCTTTGCTCTCAAAAGAAAACCGAAAAAGTCTCAACAAACAAGCTGCAATCTAAACTTCATGCCACTCCAGTATTTACTGACATAGTTTTATTAACTGTGTTTTGAGAGGAAGGTGTTTTGCAAGGTTTCATCTGGGAAGGCAGCAGAGATATCCTTCAAGCAATCATTACACCATATCATCCAAGCAGAACAGGCATCTACTGCAGTGTCACTGCAACAAAGCATGTGAATCAGTGTGGATAGAAGAGGGTGCCGTCGCATTAGCCACCCAGTTGCCCTTTAGCTAACAGCTATCAGCAGTCTCCAGCCTCCCAAACTGAAACTCCAGTGGTACTAAAGATCTGAACTCTATGAGTAGTCACAAAGCGTTCTTCAATGGGAAAGATATCCCTGTTTCTAGGACAGAAAAATGCCACAGCAGGTAGGAGATACTAGAAAGAAGCCTCAGAGAAAACATGCATAAACACCAAAAGTAACACTCTAAGAAAGCCTAGAATAAGAGCACTCTTTATGCTATTTAGAAGATACCTGAAACTGTGAACAAAAAAAATTTGTTTCTTAAACTAAAGTTTAAGAATTAAATTACCCCTTTTTATTCTTACTCTGAATAGGACACGTCGTAAGCAGTTAAATATCTCTCACGTCACACCCGTTTATAATTCTTTAACAAAGACAACACACACTGAAGTATTTTTCATGCAAGTAAATTACAGTAAAATCCAAACCAAGATAAAAGATAAAAAAGGAAAATCACCTGTACAGTTACCAAGCTGATTGGACTAATGATTTCTGGCACCCCTATGCCTGAAAGACACTGCACTTGTTTCTTTTTTTAGATCCACACATCACTACAGTTTTCCTTCCAACTCAGGAAAGCAGGACAAAATTTCTTCTGTAATGATTAATGTCATTTCCCTAAATCAGTCACCAAAATCAGTCATTTCTCTCCCACCCTCCCAGCTTGGACAAGAGAGAAAGAATTCACATTTTTCAACTAAGCAGCCCTACAACTTGTTTATTTTGCCAAGATGCACAATCCAAAGCCTGCCCTCCCTGCCAGTAACACTCAGTTCTTTCAGAACAGATTAAACTGGCTTTAAGGGACAGTGTAGTGTCAAAAAAAAGTAAACTGTTTGGATGAGAGGACCAAGTGCACCTCAGTAAGTTTGCAGACAACACCAAGATGGATGGGAGTGTTGATCTGCTGGAGGGTAGGAAGGCTCTGCAGAGGGATCTGGACAAACTGACTGATAGGCTGTGGACAATTGTATGAGGTTCAACAATTGCACTTGGGTCCTGCACTTGGGCCACAACAACCCCATGCAACACTACAGGCCTGGGGAAGAGTGGTGGGAAAGCTGCTCAGTGGAAAAGGACCCAGGAGTGCTGACTGACAGCTGAGTGTGAGCCAGCTTGGGCCCCGGCAGCCAAAAAGGCCAATGGCATTCTGGCCTGTATCCGAAATAGTGTGGCCAGCAGGGCGAGGGCAGTGATCATCCCCCTGTACTCAGCACTGGTGAGGCTGCACCTCGAATCCTGTGTTCAGTTCAGGGCCCGGCACTACAAGAGAGATACTGTGTGGCTTGAGCAGGTCCAGAGAAAGGTAACAAAGCTGGTGAAGGGCCAAGAGCACAAGTTTTATGAGGCTGAGGAAACTGGAGGTGTTCAGTCTGCAGAAAAGAAGGCTCAGAGGAGACCTTATTACTATTTACAACCACCTGAAAAGCGGTTATACCAAAGTGGGTGTCAAGTAACAAGCGATAGGACAAGAAGAAATGGCCTCAAGTTCAGGCTTAGACTGAATATTAGGAAAAATTTCTTCACCAAAAGATTGTCAAGCAGTGAAACAGGCTGCCCAGCTAAGCAGCTGAGTGACCATCCCTAAAGATATTTTAAAAGATATAGATGTGGCACTTAAGAGACATGTTTTAATGGCAGACCTGGCAGTGTTTTCTGGTTTGACTCTATGATCTTAAGGGTCTTTTCCAACCTAAATGATTCTATGATAAATAAGAAATGTGCACTGAGAATCACATTAGATGCAATTCTCCTTATGGGTAACTTACCATCTTTGTTCAGCCATTGTTTTCTTTGTCTGTAGAGGAGAAGTTTATTGTGGACATACGGCAAAAGAAACTTGACACACCAACTCTCCACACCAAGCTTGTTTTCTACCAGGACGATAGGGCTCCGGTTATACCTGGCTTCAGGACAGGGTATCAATCCAATTTCGTCTCTTAAAAAAAAAAAACAGAAAGAAATATAATTAAACTTATTTCCAGTAGATGCCAATTATGTTCCTCAATAGAGCAGACTGGCAATGCTTCCCATCCAGTTCCCATTCATCTTTTCCCCTGTTTTTACCAAAAATCTGTAGTCATTATCCTCAATTCAGCTTCTTGGTTCTGGCTGAAGAGCAGGTATGAAAAAATGCATTTTCAGAAAGCCATTCTTTGCAAAACTCATGCAGTGTGTTAACTTGGCAAATAAATTACTCAAACATGTTTTAAGGCATGAATAAAGATTTAAGTTGAGCAAAAAACATAAATGTATTTTACCTATGTGGAATTTATTCAGACTCAATATAAAAGCCAGTTGTGATTTTGAGTACTACAAAAATTTTGTATTAGTTCCAAAGTGCTGTAGCCACTGAAAATCAGAAGTATTTTAAGACTTTCTGAAGAATCTGAAATTAATAGTTGTTATCAGATGACCCATAATGAATTCAAAATCCTTCAAAAGTTCTCTAGGAAGATTTTTTTTTTGGTGTTTCTAGATCTTCTTACCTTATGATAATCGAAAAGTTTTACTCTATTTTCCCAATGAACCTAAATGAAGAAGGTCCTGTTTTTTGTATGTTTAGATTATCACCTAAGCAGTTTAACTCAGCTGAATTAACACCAGTACTCCTACCTTTGTGATGTAGATGTAGGAACTGCTACTGCAAGGGAAACAAAACAGGGAAACCATACAGGCAGCTGACTGAGCCAAAGCTACCCATACATGTCCTGCAGCAGCGTGACTAGGCACTCAGAAACCAAAGTTTGCACGAAAGACAGTTACACAGACAGCAACGTGCACGTTTCTACATGTACCGTTTTCCTTCTCCTAAGCAAGACAGTCTGCTGAACTAATTACTGAATTCTGTTACTGGAGAATCTGAGTGTACTGATTTAGTTCTCTATCCTCAGTGAATTATTAATAACATAATAAAAAGTGACGTGATTGTTTAAGAATATGTTTGCTTATTCAGAAAGAAGACTTAATCCTCTGTACTTCATGACATACATCACAAGCCAAAAAGAGCACAAGTAACTCAAGGTAAGATATTTGCAAATCACCTGGCTCTGTCTCCAAACATACACCCACGTCCTTTACCCATCTCTGGTCATTTGAAAACAGACAGAGGAAAAACAGCATTTTTCTACCCCACCAATTGCAAGCAGTGGTATTAAAGTAAGATGCTCCTTTCTGTTGCTGCACTCAACACAAGCCCTTCAGGAAGCTAGTCAGATTAGACCAAAAATGACATTCCCACCTGCTTCTTTAAACATGGCACCTTATAGCATGAAGTTTATATTTACAGCAGATTCCCTTCTTTTATGAACGTTAAACCTCATCCTTAGCCACACATTGCCTGACCTTGCATATAGGGTCATACAGGTCCCCACCTGCAATGAAGATGCTGTCACACACAGCTTTGCTAATTAACTCCATTAATTACTGCAAGAATTTACTAGCTGTTGCTTACAAACAATACCCCAAATGTAAACAGCAAGGAGAGGAAAAAAAACCTCCATGCATCCAAAACTTCACTTCTTATCAAACACAAAAAGTCTGACGCAGATGAGCCAAGTTTCACAACAGTGCTTTAAACATGCCAAAATGACAGAAAGGTAGGGTTTGCATATAGCTGACAAGTCTGCCCAAAACATCCCAACTCCAGAACTAACTCAGCTAGCTGAAATTGCCAGGGGAGGAGGCATTTATTCTGATGGGAGTGTGACAGGTCTTCAGCTTTAGGCATCCCATGTGAAGGGACCTTTTCTGTTTTTTATTCTGGAAAATCATCTTTGAAATAAGCCAACCTATCCCCACAGGATTAGACAGAGGATATTAAATAATGGCTGGGAGATCTATATCTGGTGCATATGAAGCAACTGTAATTCTACTGACAATAAAGATTGGACCTAAGTAGTTGAATATTTCTGCAATTACAAAAAGCTTTTAATACTACAAGACAATCTGGAGCATGGAGACTTGGAAAGGTGTATATTTCTACACTAAAGTAAGTCTCATGAAATGACTACATGGCTAAAGAATTTACAGTGTTTATACATTTATAGAATGTACAGCAGGGAAGAGAGGGCCTAAACTGAAGACCTGAATTTTTTTTCCCTTATTGTGCAGTGCATCATATACATGATTCTTAGAATTTCAACTAATAAATTAATTTGCACACTATGATTAGTCATTATCTTAGTGATATAACCAAAATATTTAATAAATGAAATAACAGTAATATATTATATGGAAATCCAAAGTACTTCTATGCACTATTACTTCTAAAGAAGCTCTAGATGCGCCGCTTTCATATCTGAGGGTTCCCTTTTGTTTGCTCTCAGATTAATCTCCACTTGATTGGACTTCTGCTGCAATAACAAAGTTCTGCACTGATGATCCTTCTCACTAAGTATTCCAAGATAATTATCATTATTATCGGTTTATTTGCAAGTACCAATGCTGCACAAAAGTATTAATTCAACAAAAAGAACACTGGCAAGACAGATTTCATACTCAGGTACAGTAAAGACTTAAGCAAGTATGTCTCTTTCTGGATCCCCTGAAATTTGCAATCACACCCGTAGAAACCTTGATTCAGTTTCACATCTAACAAAATGAAGTGTGATATTTTTACTACACTAAGAATGAGATAAATTGAGACAGAAAAAATTATCTGTTACAGTGACATGAATGATTCTTGGAAAACCATAAATACTATCCCCAGATTCTGTACACAAATACCTGGGCTACCATCTAAGACTTCATATTTCAAATTATGTTTACCAAATTGGTGTACTTTTCTGACAAGTGAGCTTCCTTCTGTTTGCGTTCACATTCTAAAGAACAGCAAAGTTAAAAAGGAAAGATACATTGATCTGCTCACTGCTGATCTGTTCAGTTCCAGCAGGATAGCTGATGTATATGACTTTATCAGGAACTACGCTTGAAAGACTGGGTAAAAATATCTTCCAACCTTAGAAAATTGAGAACTAGCATGGTGACACAGTTAACTGGCTGAAGAAAACGGAGTTAACAGAGAGACAAGGCAACAAGAATTTTGAGTTGTATATTTAGTTACAAGTAAGCTCATCTTAAAAAGATGCACATTCTTACTGCAAATTTAATTTAAAGGGAAAAAAAGATTTTTTTTTTTAAAGAAGAGAGGAAATAAATAAGAATTAACAATTCAATGTTCTACTTAGTCTAAAACTGTATTTTTACATGCTTTTTACTGTGGACCAGAGACAATGCCCCTTTAAGACCTACTGATCTATGAACCTTCCAGAACAAAACACTCATTACAACAAATGCAAAGGGGGCAAGCAAACAGTCAAAGACAAGTGACAACAAATGCTTGAAGAGAAATGAGTAGGGAATAAAAAATGAGATGTGAACAGAAACATTACGCACGTCAGCTTCATTATTTTCAGTAGGACCTGGTGGATACCATGTAAAAGAACTCAAACCTAGATCTGTAACACAAACAGGCTACTCTATTCGAGAGGATAACATCTGTCAGGGACTACAGCAGGTTACAACTGTCTTGTCCACCAGCAGGAAGACAAGATGTCTCTGATATACTGGAGAGTATCTGACCAGCATGGCTGCAAGTCAGTGCTCTGGGGGCAGAAAGGCAACGTAGCAAAGGGCTGGCAGCCTACACTGGCTGTGCATAGCCCCTCTTCAAGTACTGCAGTTCAGAAATCTAGCAGACAGCAAACTAGCACTAGCTTGTGGTTCCTCACTCGAAGCATGGCACAGTGCGTTCATCCCAGGCAATAAATCTCATAGCCTACTTTCATCTCTGAGATGACACATCTGAAAGAAAACGGCAACAGCGGCATATTCTTCAAAACAAAGTTTTTTGAAGTTTGTTACCAATGAACAATCTGACAAAGGAACAGAAACTAAGAAGACTCAGAACATTCATTCACAAATACTGGCTATTTACAGCCTCACAACCTAAAAATGAAGCTTCATGGAAAAATGCAGGGTTTTGGTGTTTGGTTTTTTTTCACACAGCATCCATATGCTGTATTTTAAAATCTGGCCACCCACCCAAGTTGCTTACTACATTTATAGAGACATTCATGAGGGGAACTCACTCATGAGGGGACTCACTCATGAGGGGACTCACTCATGAGGGGACTCACTCATGAGGGGACTCACTCATGAGGGGACTCACTCATGAGGGGACTCACTCATGAGGGGACTCACTCATGAGGGGACTCACTCATGAGGGGACTCATTCTAACCCTCTCTTTTAAGCAATGGGATAAATTAAGTGCCTGTAAAATTTTCCTGCGTAGTTGGTTAGAGTACCGTTTTCTGGAACAGACTAATAGGCCACCACCTTAGAGACTGCTGCCTTAGTGACTGACACAAATACACTGTACTGATGTTACAAAGTTGTTATCCACTAACTGCTACCTCATTTGCCATGACCAATACAGAGTTTGCATAACCAGACAGAATGATGCTTCCCTAAACAGTTTCTGTCTTAAAACAGCAAAGGACAGGGAAGGAAACAGAAATACAGGAGGTACCTAAATCAGGATCTCAGAGCTGGTCAGTGGAACTGAAAATGAAACACTGACCATCTGACCCCAGATTGTCAGAAAACCCTGCTTCTCACAAGACAGCAATAACTGTAGTTTGTATCTACATAATCATTCTTCTTGTCTCCTACCACGCAACGAAAAGTACTGGCACCTCTATTAACAGACGGATTTGAACACGGCATTCATCAAATCATGCTGTTTGTACAAGGGTGCAATTCAGCAGGCTTCAACCCTGAAGGTGTGCTTCCACCAGCATTAACGCTGTGTCTCAGACACAGACAGACCCTGCTGCCTTCAGCGGGACTTTGGCAGGCCTGACCTGCCCACAGGCGAAGGTCAATCCCATCTCGACTGCGCTGTGAGTTTAACACCGCCAAACTTCGAATTTGAGTACGGTTCATTTAAGAACTTATATTTAAAAAGATATTCATCGCTTCCAGATTCTAGAGCCCCCGCTGGTTTCCACAGCTCAGTACTATGCACCGATGAGCCTGGTGTTGCCCCCAGGACGACGAACCGCCCCAAGGCTCGCTACCGGCTGGGTGCTGCTGCAGCCTGAGCCTCCCGGGCCGCACGCCCGCCGCGAGCACCCAGACTCCCGAAGCAGGTGCGCGGCGGTACCTGTAAGACGAGACAGCAGGAGAGCACAGGAGACACCGTCGGGGAACCACCGACCTGCCCCGGGGAAGCGCAGGTGCCGTGGAAGCCGCCCGGCGCGGACCCTCCGCTCGCAGCCTGGCACCTCGTGGGGCGGTGCCGGGCGGGGAAACCCGACTGGTCCCCGAGGCACCACTCGGCGTGACCTTAGGCCCGGGCCCCCGGCCCCGACAGGCACCCCTACGCGCCGGGAGGCGAGAGAGAGGGACCGCCGGCGGCCGAGGAGCCCGCCCGGTCCCGGCAGCCGCCCGCGCCACTCACATGTGGGGGTTTCGCTGGAAGGCGTTGCGAATGTCCTTCACCACCCGCTGCACCAACACCGCCACCTCCTCCAACGACTCGGCCATCTTCCACCGCCGTAGCCGGCACCGCCGCGCCGGGCGGGCAGAACACTTCCGGGTCAGCGCCTCCCGGGGAGCCGCGGGTAACGCGCAGCGGGGCGGGGCCGCGCTCCCGCCTCCCGCCTCGGCCCCGCCGCAGGGGCGGGGCGGTTTCGCTCCCTCCCGGAGGCAGAGGTGCCTGGGAGCATAGCCAGAGGAAAGGAGGTGCGATAGCATGCGGTAAGTCCAAAGTGCTGTCATCGCAGTACTGAAGAATTGGTCTGCTCTGTTGCGCTTGTTGAGAAAAGAAATGATGCTTTAATTCTCGTTTGGGCTGCAACTCAGTAAATCTATTTGTATAAATAAGAAGGCAAGAAGCCTGCAAAGTCATATGGCACTATGGTAGGTATCTAAAAAGACTGTAGTCTTTCACAAGGCAGGACTTCCACAGGTTTAATTGAAGGTCCCGTCTGTTAAACCCCAAACTGCAACACTAGAACTAGGAGATTTTATGGAGCCTTCTCAATAGCCCATGTATTACATGGAAAAGCTTAGACTAAGTAATGCTGATTTCAGGTAATTGGAGTATATGGAAGCGCTGCTGCAGTTTCTCATTCACCTTATAGACTGTACAGGCACTGTTTCATAGAATCATAGAATGATCTGCATTGGAAGGGACCTTAAAGATCAGATAGTTCCAACCCCCTGCCATGGGGGCACATTCCACTAGACCAGGTTGCTCAAACCCCCAATCCAACCTGGCCTTGAAGCCAACCTTGAAGCCAGACTTTCCATACTACTGCCTGCCAGACCCATGCTGTTCATGTTATGCAAGATGATGGTTTTAGTCAAACCCACTGTCCTGGGTTCAGCAGTAGCAGTCATGTTTCTCCTTTGTGGTAGCTGGTGCAGTGCTGTGTTTTGACTTCCAGCCTGGGAA